CTCTTCCCCCCCCTCCCCCAAGGAGAGAGGCTGCCACACCTGCTCTCGAGTGTCAACGTAACTCTGAGATGGGTTGTTCGTCGCATGGCCCCAAAAATAGCACCCGCTGCACACATGGCCGTCGAGCCACCCCCAAACTCTACATCTACGACATGCCCGCTCGCCAGCAGCCTGCGCCCCGTGATCACCGTGCAACTCCCGTCGCGGCGTCCCTGGCCAAGGACGGATTTGGGCCCAACGCGCAAGCCGGGGCGACGTGGCGCGTCCCAGGGACGGTGGACTGATCCGCCACTAACACCACAGGTTCGCAGGGTGATGATGCCCCGAGATGGTGAAGGAGGAAGCGGCAGGACGGGTAGCCGCCCGACACACACACACCGGCGCCCTCCCAAGGCCAAGGGCAGTTTCCTCCACGGGGTGTGCAGCCGATATCAGTCCGTACCGCAGGGGACCCGCTGCAATAGCGCCGCCGTCGCGCGAGACCCGATGCCCTGCAGACCGCGTAAAGTACCGGCGTGCGTAGCTTGCGGTGTGACATCTCGCTCATTCCCCGGGATCGTTAAATGAGATCGAGTGCAGCGTCCCATCAGGCAGACATGTGCTTCGTATGTTTCGCCAATCAAGGATGCAGCCCGCCAATGCTCCATCATCGAAAATGCCTTGCCACGCGGTGTTGGTCTTGTCCCCGATGGCGAATAGCTTCATTGCATGGATCGATAGTCAATGCTTCGTGGGTAGATTACAGATTGCATCCTCCTCTGTACATGTCTTGCTTGCTTCCAAATCCTTACTTCGCGGAGCTGCGCCACGTCGTCTCTTCTCTCGTTGGGCCTCGAGGCCACTACTCCTTGTATTGCCATTCCATTATTACCCGCCAATCCGAATGCAAACCAGAGCGGAGATGCGGCCAGCCGCCGAGATCAAGCTGCCCGGCGCTCAACTCCCACAACGCCCATTGCCTCTATGTCTCTTGGTCTGTGCCACGAGCTGCAATTTTTTGACCATCCCCGGTGTTACTGAACGCAATGCAGAATACCGCGCCGAGGCGGAAAAGAACCGAGAAAGAAATAGTTCGTACTCAGATGACGTCGGAGCGCTCGTAGCCGGCCGGCTTCTGGCTCGGCTTGGGCACCTCGCGATCCTTGAACGTGCTGACAAAGGGGTTCGGGTCTTCCTTTTGGTTGAGGTTGCCCAGGGTGTGGTTGACGCCGCGATGGCCGGCCTCATCGGCGCGGATGTACAGGATGAGGTCCTTCATGGTGCGGTTGCCTTCGGGCATGTTCCAGTACTGCACGGGTCGCAGTCAGTATCGTTCTCAATTAAGTCTTCAGGGTAGGGCTGCGTCTGACTCACATCTACAGCAATGTCCGGGATGCGGAACTCGGGGTCGGACCACTTGGGCAAGTGACCCTCGTCGATCTCGTGGAGCGCCCTCGTGTACGTGTGGACGGCCTCCTCTTCGAGGTAGCCGACGAATCGGTGGACGACACGCGGGCTCAGGAGGTAGGCGATGAAGAGGCTGTTGAAAAAGACGCCCTGCGCGCCGATGATCATGAGCTTCATGAAGCGGCCGGGTTCGCACATCTTCATAAACGTCAGGAGGTGCATGCGCTCGTTGTAGCTCTCCTCAAGGAGCGTCTCGATCCAGCCTTGGTCGCGCTTCATGCGGCGCAGGCTGTTGAGGTGCCGGAGCATGCCCCCAACCATTCCGGGCACGCCGGCGATGCTCTCGAGGAAGACGAAGCGGATAAGCTGACGAGTGTCAGCAACGATTGCCCTGCAAGGCAGGCTGTCGTAACAACGACGCCTAAAGGGGGCTCGGTACTCACCCATTGCGCTTCCGTCAGCGGCTGCTGGGCCTCGACGGCCGTGGTCGGGTTCTTCTTGTCGACCTGCTGCTCGCGGTCCATGCCCGTGGCCTTGTCCATCCAGAAGCGGGCGAAGCGGACAATCTTCCAGGCGGCCCAGTCGCTAAAGTTGCGCGGCGCGCGGTGGTCCGGGACGACCGACGTCATCTCCTCCATGGTGTAGCCATGGTGAGGCCAGGCGGCCTTGGTCTTGAGGATGTGAGGGGTATCCTTTGAGGGGAAGAAATCGCGGAGCTGCGCCGCGCGAGTCGTCGTGAACTGCCGCGACGAAGAAGGGGACGAGGGTCCTGACGCGACGCGATGGGCTTGAGAGCCGCAGCAGCAGGCGCCGAGGCGCAGGCCCAGTGTGTACTGCGAGGACACCGAGGTGCTCCCCAGAGCGGCGGCCCGGGCGAGCTTGACAGCGTGCCGGGAGGCCTGCGAGCGGGCTTGGACAGTCGTGGTGGAGATCATGCTCGACCTATGGGGGACTGTTCTGTGATGTGGTGTTGGTGATGTTGCTAATGTGACGCAATTGATGCTTGGTTGCTGGCTCGATGGTGTTTACCAGTTTGCTCCTACATTGGCACCTGAGGCTGACTTGAGGGCGAGGCAGCTCACGACAAGATATTTATTTTGCACCTCACACGTCTGTTCCTGACTCCTGAGGCACCCGAGGCACCGCCGCCGTCAGCCACCAGAGAGAGGGGGGCCGCCGGTATTGGCACGGGATAATTGCACCGCGGACATATACGAATCGGCGACCCGGATGACGTTCAGTGACAGACGCAGCCCGGGCAGGCAACCGAGAGCAGGGCCTCGCTCATCAGGCAGAGCGAGCACCGATGCTCCCCGCGCGGCGGGCAATGCGAGCAGCCGCATTACCAAGCCCGGCGCGGGAGGTGGCGCCCACGAATTCAGGCCGGACCGGGCCTGGGCTGCGGGTGCCCTGGGGCCCTGTGGCCCTGGAGGATCCTGCGCGTGGCCGCCCTGCCCTGGTCGTAGGTACCCGATGCCCGCTACAAGGTGCCACAATACCCGCCCGCGCAGTGGGCCACCCGGATGGAGCCCGTTCCATCGCCCATCCATGGATCTCAGCCCTGAAGCACTGCAAAAGTAAACGCTACCAGGTTACAGTGGGTGCGTCGCCCTGCCAGAGCCGCCTGCATTCCATTCCACCTATCCCGCTATGAGTGGCTGCAGCGCCCTGTCCCGGGCGCCCTGGGCATTCCACCTATCCAGCGCGTCGCGTCCCACGCCCACGGGTCGTCGGGATGTTACGGAAGCCCGCCCCTCGAACCCTCGCACAACGCTGACTCCCACCCAAACACAGTACCCTCCCATCCCGTTTGGTTTTCGCCAGCGCAACGTCAAGATCCAGAGCGTCACGCGCCGCAGGCGAAGTTTTTCTTGTCCTGTGCACAATGGATCCTGCGAAGGTTCGCGCGCGTTTTCCCCTCGCTCATCAATGGAGCACGATGCGAAACTCTCCGAGGGTGAGACCGCACGCAGCTCTTCTCGCTTCCCCTGTTCCTTGCGCAGCTAGGTGCTCGCCTGTCACATGGGCGTTTCGTGCCGCTGGGCCAGCTGGTTGCTGCTCAAATTATCCGGGCTTGATGTCATATCCGTCGTCCGGACGATCCGCCCCCCTCGCTTGCGGGCAGCATGCACGCCCCTCTGCATAACGCATGTATCACAGCAGCTTGCGCCTTGGATAAAACCGGTCCCCCTTGGCTGAGCGCGGTGCTTGCCCGCCGTGCATGTGAGGCCCTCCATTGTACAAGCTTTCCCTCGCTACCAGTAGGCCGGTCGCTGCCCAGCAAACCGAGCAACGCACCTCCGCGGCACGCGGCCGTGCTCGGCCCATTTCCCGGCCCCACCACTCCGAACCAACTCCGGCACCCGCCCGGCCGCCCCGGCGCGGTTTCCGAGCGGCGAACACTGACTGCGCTGCTCCACACATCTTCCCATGCGCGTCTCCCGTTCCCGTCTGCCACATGGCTTTGCCGCCCCCTGGGCTGCTTGCCTCGTGCGGCACAGCAAATTTACATCCTAGCAGGCTGTCAGCGGGTTCTCCAATCCATCTCGGGGCGCTTCCGGATACCGACCTCTCCAGCGGCGTCAGGCCCAGAATGCGCATGCCGTTGGCCAGCACGATTCGCGCCGCGTCGTAGAGCGCCATTCGTGCCCGCATCAGTTCCCGCTCGCTGCCGACGACCTGGAGCTGGTCGTAGCTGCTGCTCACCACATGTGCCGTCTTGAACAGGTAGGTCAGGATGGTCGTGGGCTCCAACGTCCGCAATGCGTTCTTCAGCACGTCCGGCCACTGCGCCAACATACGCACCACGTTTGTCGCGTGTGACTCCGTGAGCAGAGTGAGGTCCGCGGCGTCCAGGTCCTCCTCGGACAGGGCCGCCCGGCGCTTGATGGAGCAAAGTCGGGCGTGGGCATATTGCAGGTAGGGTCCAGTGTCTCCCTCGAGCGACGTCATGGCGTCCATATTAAAGTCGTAATCGTTTATCCTGGTAAATTGTCAGTGGACTACAGCCGGAATATGGCGTCGAGACCGCAACGAACCTCTTGCCGCTCATGTCCTGGACCATCACGCCGCTGATACCCAATATGTCGGCCGTCGCCTCGGGGTTCTTTATCTGAGCGTATTTGGCCTCGTTTTGCTTCATCTTCTCGTGCATGTAATCGGCGCAGTCTGCAAAGATGTCGTCCAAGCTAAACCACAGAGTTAGCTTGACTGTGCGGCAGGCAGTTACAGCATTGTACTCACAATTTGGCAGTCCCCTTCCGGGTGCTCATTCCTCGGACGAGGCCGAAATTGACGTGCTGACACTTTTTGGCGACCTCCTCATGCCCCAAGAGCTCCACGAGCTTGAACAGCTGGCTCAAGTGCAAGTTCTGAGCCGCCCCCACCACGTAAATCATGTGGTCAAACTTGTACTTTTCATACTGCGCAACGTCAGTGTCAGATGGATCCCAGTGCCGAACCCTCATGGAGTTCTAGTATTTGGCCACTTACTCGACCGAGAAGCTCGCAAATGTCTCGCGTGAGATAGAGCGCTGTGCCGTCCTTTTTCCTGTGGGGTTGTCAGCAATGACGGACGGATTGCCAGGGTTTCTACGAACGCACCGGACCAAGGTCACTCCTAGTTGCTTGCCCTCCTTCCCGGGCAGCAGCTGCGTAAAGTCCACGAGCACGGCGCCGTTGTCTTCTCGAGTCACCCCCTTCGCCTTCAGCTGCTCTGCCATTTTCGCCATTGACTCCTCGCTGACTTGGCTCTCCCCTTAAAGAAAGTTAGCAGACTGTCTGACCGACGGCAACTCGATTACCTACCGCTGTATTCGTCAAAGTGAATCCCCAATCGCGAATACGTTTCTGCTCGAACCGTATCAGCAATCCGCGCTACCAGCGTACCGCTTTTCGACGTGGCTTGTGAGGGACATCAAAGCCTACCTTGATATCGTGCGATGCTGAGGTCTCGGAACCGCTGCCACTGTGCCAGCGTCCGCTCATCTCGATCGGTCTACCGGCGTTAGATGGATTCGCTGCGTTGACGGAGGATATAAGTACCATGTGTCGAAAGTATTTTCGCGCCTGCTCATCCAGACTGTTCGCTTCGAGCTCGCTGACATCCTCGCCAGCCTCTTTCTTGGCCTTTATCGCTTCGTTTTCCTCCTTCATGTCCTTGTTGATCTGCACGTAGAGCTTGAAGAGATGGTCAATCGGGTTCTTCTTGAGCTCCTCTTCGCTCCCGTTTCGTTCGTATGCCACGGCGAGCAGGCCGTATTGCTTGCCCCAGTCGCCGAGGTCTTTTGCCCGCATCAGTCCCAGCCCAAAACTACGCTGAACCAGAGAACTCACAATTGATCCTGAGGACCTCCCATCCATTGGCTTCATACACATTGGCCGTGAAGCTTCCGATGATGGTGGATCGGATATGACCGGCGTGAAAGGGCTTGGCGACGTTGGGCGAACTAAACTCAACAATCTGTACCGCATCAGTATAATGGGTGTTTGTAACATGTCGGGCCACGCACAATTCGTTTTCGTCCCTTGCTCGGGTCCTTGGGGTCCTTCAATCCACCAAAGTCATTGCGACCTGGCCGTCTGTCAGAACAAATATGTCTGTGTGGAGTTCTTCGATTCAGAGCCTACCGTAACGGGCCCCTGCCTGGCGGACCATGGGGATCACTGTTGACGAAAGGGGGTCGGCCTTGACGAAAAACGACATAAAGGAACCATTGACGACGGGTTTCGCGAAGAGCGCATCGTCCGCCGGAAACTACGTCTGTCTATCAGCATGCGCATCCGTCTCGGCGGGAGGGACCGTACTCACGCTTGCACTCCACTCCTTGGCTAGGACGTCCGGCTTCGATCCTTTGAGCCGAAGCGCTGGCACAGCAATGATAAAGTCGCCCTTGTCGAGCCCCTGCGTGCGCATCACGACCGGGTATAGGGTGGAAGAGGAAACTCCCGAGATTTCCGCAAGCACGTTGCTCAGATGTGCCCTGTAGAGGTCGAGGGGATTGGCATCAGGGTGGGCGGAGGGGAAGGATTTCCTGACACCGTCCAAGGACAGGCCTTTGAGATGCTGTGCAAACAGTTCCATGACTGGTTTTCGAGCCATTGTAGTAGCTGTCGCTGTTTATGGGTAGGGTTGCAGATATACTTGGTGTAGGTGGCGATGTAGATAGCGTCGCTCTGTTACTGATCGGGCGAATCAAGTTGGAGGGCCGTAAGGATCGACGACGAGAGCTTTCTGAAGAGAGTTTCGCAGTCTTTCAGGTTTTGCGATTCAATTTCGCTATTCTTTGGGTACGAAAGAGCGATGAAGTTGGTTTTTGCATTGCGCTGGAATGCACTAACGTCTGTGACTCAAACCTTCACTTTTGTCGGCTGAGTCCCACTGCAGCCGACATCGCTGCGAATTGGGTGTTATGTACATGCTGTTAATCGTCTCGACATGTTCAATATATTTCGACGCGCGAAGAGACTCCAACTCGCGCACAATCTTTTTCTTTTCTTTGTTTTTATTCGTCAAAACACAATTTACGTAGTCTTGTCGCAACATTGTAGGTGGTGTCGCCTTGACAGTGGTTGCGGTCATTCAACCAACCAACTCAAACGAGCTCGATAGCACGTTCGATATGCCCCGTCGCTCCGGATTACGCGGTTGAAATAGACTAGAATGGAAGTCCTACATGTTTGGCAAATGATCGTTGCACGCATGTACGGTGGCTGACAAGATTGGTGGGCGCGTCAGCCTACGAAGTACGGTGAATCCACCACGGCGTTGCAAGACTTTTCGGACCGGCGCGAAACATGTCAACTCGGAGCGGTGCAGTACCTGGGCTGTACTCGTACCGGAACCACGACAATGTCATGGCCCCTTGCATACGGAGTACGTGCAGGTGTGCAAGCGCTGCTTCTTGGGCTCACAGGGGGAGGGAGGCATGGGAGGCAGGTGGTGACTCAAGAGCCGTGCGTGCGTCACATGGGTGTGGGCGCCGGCAACGTCCAACTGCATCACATCGGGCCTAATGCACCATGACAGACAGCAGTGACGTGTGAGCGGGCGGACGGCGCCCATGCTCGTCGCGAGTGGACAAGCCGGGCATCCAGGTCATGCCAGGCTCGCCCGGCGCCATCTGAGGACGTGTGTGACTCCTCTGATAATATCGGGCATATCCGTCCCCGCCACGGGCCCCGTCCTCCACCTCAGGGCGAGCCTCCGTGCAGTGACACATGCCCCATTCATATGGGTTTGAAACCGGGCCAGGCCAATGACCATGAATAACCCTGGACTGTCGGGTGGCATCGAGGGCCGTGGCAGTGACGGGCCCTGCCTGGCTTGGCCGGCGGGCACTCAAGCTCCAGGAGCACAGAAGCCTTGCCCAGACCGAGGGCACGGCACTGCGGATAGTCAAGGTGGTCGTAGTCCTTGGCTGGAGATGAAGATGCGCCGAGAGCAGACGGGACGGGCTGGCGGGTATTGTATGGAGGAGTGCTATTCGTAGAGCCAACTTTTGCTAGTTGTAGACCCCCCCCCTACATTTTTCGTTTCTCGGCCGCGCCCTACCCCCATGCCGGCCAAGTAACTTTTACTGCGTATAGGCGTAGGCATGGGACGGTAGCGGCGCGCCGCTTATTACTTTCGTTGCTTTCGTTGCTTTCGTTGCTTTCGTTGCCTTCGTTGCCTTCGTTGCCTTCGTTGCCTTCGTTGCCTTCGTTGCCTTCGTTGCCTTCGTTGCCTTCGTTGCCGTCGTTGCCTTCGTTGCCGTCGTTGCCGTCGTTGCTGTTGCTCCTATGGGCTCTACAACTACCAAAAGTTGGCTCTACAAATAGCACTACTCATTGTATGGGTCTTGCAAATCCAAAGTTGCCCTGGGAGTGACGGGAACAATGGAGGGAGACTTGGATTCAGATGCATGGCCATGGACGCTGGGACCTACGGCACACGCACGCACTGTAGTGCCGGCGTCCAACGGCGTCCGACTTTGGCCGCAGCTGGCGGGCAGGGCATCGCGGGAGATAAAAGGTATTCTCTTAGGTTCCGACCTCCAAAAAAGTAAGGTACCTAAGCCGCGATGGCTGGCCTGAGCATATGCCCAAAGTTATAGCAGCCTGGAGGTTTGACTGCCCGACGTCAGCAAGCTCGTGCCCAAGCAAAACTCAATCTCGCCGCCCGCCCGCCCTGTGCCGTGGTTCCCTTCCTTCTGCCAGGACGCCCCATCCCCTACTGGCATTACTTATTATAGTGAGTACCACCTAACAC